CTCAGTGTTAAGCATCATCAGCATTTAATAAGTGAATGCAATATGATAAATATACCAAAAGGATAAATATACCAAATGTTTACTTGATTTTTTTTTACATACAGGAGTTCAGACCACTGGTAAGTTTGTTTACAGCACTTCACTTATCAAAGTTCACATTGTTCAAGACAAATATTGAAAAGTATATAGAATGAGTTACCTCAGTTTATATTTCCAAAATGGTCATTTTGTTAGTCTAGTTCAACAAAAATAAAAGTGTGTCTTGCAAAGGCTAACATCTCTCATAGGGAAAAATTCACATTCCTTTATTTCCTTTTTTTTTTTTTTACAAATGTAATTTTGACCCTCCTTTCTCCACTTTAAAAATATGCTGAGTTGCAATCTGAAAAGAGTGCTTTCTCTTGTATTCCAAAGTTCACGTTATCCAGTGATTTGTAAAGGAGAAGAGGAAGAAAACCACACAAATTTCTTTTATCACTTTCCTATTGCAGTGTATAGGTTTATCACACAAAGGCTAAAATGCAGCAGAAATGTGGATTTTGACTGTGTCTTTTAGTAAAAATTAATATGTTGGCCTAGGAAAATTTGGCCACTTCTGTTCTACAACAGCAGATATAAAACTATAGGTTTTCTTGTATAGAATGCGTATTACGCATTGACATTTTAATGCAGAGGGAATACTCAAGTTCTTTTGCAACATGTCTCAGTGATTACTGGATACAGTTTCATTAAAAATTAAACACTAAATTGAATTGTAGGGCTAGGCTTTTGAAATTTAGGCGGCTTTTTGCTTTTTGGCGGGGGAACTATCTAAGTGAAAATGGATGAGATGGTTCAGACATATTTCTTGATCATGTGAGTGCTTTAAATTATGCTCACGCACAAGTGGACCAAATGATTCAGTACATTTAGAATTTACTGAAGGTTTTTAGCTGTGATTGGCCAGTGCATCCAATTTATCTGAACTTTTATCTCTGAAACACCAAGGACGATAATATCCGTATCTGAACTGCATATAAGTTGGCATAGCTAATGCATGTTTCATTCCGAACAAGATGGGCTATCTAGAGCTTGGTAATGTGGCAGCTGGAGGATGCATGTTGCTTAATCATGGGTTTGGTGCCTCAACAACTTTGCCTTCTTTTGCTTCTGATTGCATTTGTTTGACCAATGCTGAATTTCATGACCTGAAAACTGTCAGAGTAAAGACATTAACTAGACATAGTCCTAAATAGAAGAGAACTTGCCATTGAATCCAAGCTTCTCACTGGAGACTATCTTATGTACATGGTTTTTAAAGAATACATGGGTCTCCACAATTATCAGATGACTTAAAAAAACAAAGTGAAACCTTTACTACTCAGTTCTGAGTTTAATCTTTGCAATATGAGGCTCTAAATATAGCAGTATAGTAGTGATTTTCCTTCAAAGCCTGAGAAATTCAGCAGGCTTGGTTTAGCTTTGCAATTGGCCTCTGGAAGTCACGAGATACAGCTTGCGTCAATGTGCTTTTGTCACACAGCATTTAGGTAAGTATTAAAATAAGAACAGCACAAGGGAAGAAGTACATATAAGGCAATTGCTATTTGTCTGGAATGTTCAGCTATTAAGTGTTATCTTCCTAGACTTCTATTCTTCCTGTAAGTACAGCTTGATTTAACGCATCTCCTGGAACCAATGCGAATTTATTTGAATTGCTTTCATCTCAGGTGCTGCCGTAGACTGGTGGGCCCTTGGAGTTTGCTTGTTTGAATTTTTAACTGGAATTCCACCATTCAATGATGAAACACCACAACAAGTATTCCAGAATATTCTTAAAAGGGGTAATTATCGCTTTCATCAAAACCATATCCAAAGATTCCTCATCTAACATAAATCCGTGGCACTGATTTCTGTGTATGTGTGTTTCCAGATATCCCATGGCCTGAAGGTGAAGAGAAGTTGTCAGATAATGCTCAGAATGCCATTGATATTCTTTTAACTGTTGACAGTGCCAAGCGAGCTGGACTTAAGGGTTAGTTATCTCTTCTTCACCTGGTAGCTTAGAAGCTTATAATTTAAATAAATATTTATGGTTTTAGGCTGCATGAGGCTGGGTGGTGGTGGCATGAAACACTTCATGAACCATTGAAGGTTTTGGGAAAACAACCCACGCAGGGAAGAGCCAAACCATCCGTCCTTAAAGCTTAGTGATACAGATAGTCACAAACCAGTTCAACCTAATATTTTATGGCTAACAAAAGAAAATCCATTCAAGGATGGCAGTCTTATTTATTCCTTGAGTTCAGGACATCACATGTGATTCTCCTCTCACTATAGTGAATGTAGACACTTTTTGCTACACTTGCCAATGAATTCCCAAATCGCAGAATTACTTCTTGGAATTTCCAAGTTAGTGAAAAGAGGACTGACATACTGATTTGACAAGAGATTATGTTTGTTAAAGCCTCATTTCAAATCTAAGTGCAGGGCAGAATTGGCAAACATTCTTAAGAATAGTGTTTCGTTTAAACTGTAGTCTGGGGATTGTTCAGAGACTTAGTTCAGAAAATCAATCCAGAATTAATTCTGGAAACATCCAGAATCATAAATAAAAACCATTAGAAAGTATGAGAAAGTCACAGAATTAAATCAACACCTTATTTAAATGTTCATTCTAGAGCTGAAGCTTCATCCCTTCTTTCATGGGGTGGATTGGGATAATCTGCGCAATCAGACCATGCCGTTTATACCTCAACCGAATGATGAAACAGACACATCCTACTTTGAAGCAAGGAATAACGCTCAGCATCTAACAGTGTCTGGATTCAGCCTGTAGTATCAAAGAAAAAGTGTTGCGTAGACGATTTCACATTTATGTTGGCAAAACTTCCTACCACTTATAATGTAACAATTTCATTTTTTAAAAAAAGGATCTGCTTTTAACTCAGTATTTTTCTATATAAGCTATATTGAAATGTTTAATTCCAAATAGCTTCTGATCCAAATTTTTACTCTGAAGACTGCACTTTATATTAATTCATTATGTAATATAATAGTGGTATGACACTTTCCTACTCCACAAAAGTTATTTTTCTGCTGCTATGGGTATTTCTTATGGGGAAATTACTATCTTTGCTGTCAGCTATAATTGGGAAAGTTAAATACATAGCAATGCAGGTACCAGCGTGCCTGTAATTATAGCATGACTCCTCAATATTAGAATCTATTTGAAACTGATTTCAGGTCACTTTGAAGCTGTACTTCTATATTTTCAGTGCAGCCCAAATAGGAAATAGTCAGTTTTCAGGCATTTGGTATAATTTATATATTACTTATCCTGCTGTTTAAACTGTCAGTATTCCCAATTGCTTCTAATTTTATTGTCAATATGTTTTCATTCCTAGTTTATCTATGAAAATTGTGGCAAAAACAAAACAAGAAAAACTTAGAGTTCAACTAATGCTATGTTTTTGGATAAACTATTTTGCCATTTTAAATACTGAAAATGAAAAATGGTCATTTTTGCAATTCAGTCGGGGGAAAAAACAATCATTGTGTATGCTAAATCAACATAGTGTAATTGCAATTCAGTGAAGCAGGTAAGATCAGGGGGCATTTCAATTACCATGTGTTTAAAACATTGAAAATAAAAATATGTATGTATTTGAGATGCATAATTTCTAAGTCTACTTTGAATTAAACACTGAAGATTACTTATTGTTTCAGGTTGTACTATTATAAATAATAATTTATTTCACTTTAAATAAGATCCATATTGACACATTTGTTAATTTTCTCCCATGTCCCCCATAGAGTGCCCTAAGGAGCTTACTAACACAGAGGTAGCTATGTTAGGAGGCCTTTAGGAGTGACTACTGCATTAGTTTAACTGTTCTGCAGCAAGATACTTTTAATACTATGGGATCAACTTGGAACAGAGCTTCAGTCTGTATTTTTGGTTAGTTTGGTTCTACATCTGAAATTTAATGGATAACTCTTCAATATTCTCACATAACTAAAAGCTGTCATATTTATTCCTGTTCTCTACTAGCTGTTGTATCAAAGTAGTTTCCTGGCAATAAATTATCTATGATTATGTCTGATTCTACATCCTGTAGGCAGAACAATTGTATTTGCAACATTATGGACACCTAGAAAATATTGGTAATTTGTATCTTCCACCGCCAAAAAAGTCAGAGCAAATGTTCAGAACAATAGAAGTGAAGAATAAGTGATTAGGAAATATCATGGGCAGAATATTGGTTTTTGTGACATAAATAGACCTGGCTATTTTGAAATAGTGTTATGTAATGACTTTTATGAAATTTGATTAACAGACACGTGCCTAAAAGGAGTCATTTGACTGTCCTTGGAATTTATCAACTTTGCCGAGTTCTCTAATTCTTTAGAGATAAGTATGTTAAAGAATGAATATCTGGATCACTTGCTGGAATATTTAATGGTTCCTCCAGAGATAAATGCTTATCTTAGCTACCAACTTTTGGGAGGGACAGAACCTTGCTTCTACCATATTCAGCTGCTTTCTCTCTCCCATCCTCCTTTCTTGGTTCATACTGGAGTTCTACCAGTGCTTTTCTACTGTCAGTAGGTTGATTATTGAGATTTAGTGGATAAGGTTCCTCTTTAAGCTATATATGTATGTGAAGATTGATGTCAGAGTTCATGATTATTCTGAGAATCCTGGCATGTCCCTGAAAGTTTCCAACTGGCCTGTGATACAAGCTGGTATACAATTATTATTTCGTGTGTGTGTTAGCGCCTTCATCAGTTTTTTACTCCTGGTGACTGCTTGGACAAGTCACTGCAGTTTTCTTGGCAAGATTATTTGGAAGTGGTTTGCCATTCTTCCTTCTTAGGGCTGAGTGTGCGCGACTGGCTCAAGGTCATCTGGCTGGCTTCGTGCCTAAGGCAGGACTAGGACTCCCAGTCTCCCTTAATCACTGATGGCCTTAGCCACTACACCGAACTGACTCTTGCAATCATACAAACAAGACCTTTAACATATCCTCAGACAATATACTTCTATCGTCCTTTATTTGAAATGTTATTTTACAATAGATTAAAATGATTTAGCTTAAAATTAACTTTAAAATCATGTTTTATATAACAAGGCAGAAGTGTTTGACTTCTGCAATTACAATATTTATACATAACAAGTATAAAGTTGATTTTCAAACTTTGAGACCTTACATCAGAGCAGAATAATGTTCTCCCATCAGTCTGATCAATTACAGTGTAAAATGTCATATCTGGAAATATGTCAGTTTCAGTTCATTTTCTTTTCACCGTAACAACCAAGAGGCAATCACTTTAAGCTGCATTTTAAAACAGCTGAATTTTGTAACATCAACCAGAAAAAATGTTCACCTTCATTGTTTGTTTTCCCTCTTCCATGGAAAAGCTAACTTTCTAATTGTATTTAGAAAGGTACTACCAGCTGTTATATCCAAATGTAGATCTGATCAATAGGCAGAAATGTAAAATGAAAGTGCTAAAATGATATCCCTAAAGCGATTAGGAAAAAAACAAAACCGAACAATGAAGGCAAGCATTATAATAAGGGAAAATGACATTTTGCTTAACTGTTATAGCAAAAAGTGATGTTCTTGGTTCAACAAAATGCAAACATTACAGAAAACTCTGCCAGCTGTGGCTTCATAGAATATTCACATTTATGCAGACTGGTTGAAGTTGTCATCAACTGTTGCAGGAAGGCAGGGGTATGTGCAGGATACGGTCAAAAGAATGGCCAGTGGTGCAACCCAAATTCTGCCTAGTTTTATATAAAAAGTGAGCAGAACTTCAGTTGCACCAATGTGGTTGCCATCTTGACTTTTCTGACCATACCCTGCAGATGCCCTGGCAGGAAGAGCTATGGCTTGAGGCTGTTCCCCAGAAGCTGGCACTCGGACTTGCTAAATCTGCATCTGTACTGTACTAGTGTAGTTGAATGGTCTACTGTTTTAAAAATCCAAAAGAACTATCTGGCCAAAGAGCTCTAGCTGCAGGAGATGTTTTGATCCTGATGAGCATTCAGTCATGAGAAAAAAACACCTAGTTTCTGAATAAGATAATGGCGCCTGGCTACAAATTTAGAGCACCCAGGGCATGTCATGGTTTGCTTATATCCTCATTGTAGGCATTGTACATAGCAGGGGTGGGAAGTGCCCACTCGGACCACAATGGCTGAAAGCTTCCTTCCATTTTGAGGTTGAAAATAGTTGAAAACATCGTATAAGCTCTTAACGAGGCATATGACAATTTAAAAAAATAAAAGCCAGTCTGCCCACAAGTGTTGTGGCCTCATCCATTTTGATATGCCCTTCCTCCAATGTTGGCTACAAGAAGTTGCCCATTCCTAATTAATGGGTGGGAGTAATTAGCAGGGATGTCCTTGCCTAGCTTTAGATATGGGCAGATAAGATTCCGCTGTAACACCCTTTTCCACTGGCAAAACCACCATCCATTTGCAAAGCCTATTTCTACACAAGTATTGAACAGCTGCACAGAGCAAGTTTTTAGTATGCAGGACCTTCTATTAACTATTATGTGTTCCTTAATTAGATTTTTTGAATAAAGACAGTACTTTTGTAAAACTTAAGTACACACTGCCTCTTTATTCAATACAGATGTTTGTAAGTTGTATTAAAATCAACAACAACAAAAAAAGAGATTTCATATGCCCTGAAGTCCCACTGATTTTATTATCTTCAGGGCAGTTGTCATTATTAAGCATTCTCTGCAACAAACTATTTTGAATCTATCATGCCATTTGAGGCTCAGTTTATTCTAACACTGAGATGTATGGCTATGCATAGTTTTGTGGTTTTTAAAAAATATAATTTTGGTGGCATCTGTGCAAGCAGAATCCACAGCCTCAAATGTTTAATTTTATTTATTAAAAAGCTATCACATATAGCAGCAGTTAGAAGTTAAACTTCTCATTACTATTAAGTGCAACCATAACCTCCTACTTTGGCCTTTGGGGATGTACAGTTTCCTCAATCTATTGTGTATTTTCTACACTATCCAAAAGCCTGGCTGACATTATAAAACAAATCATATTAAAGTTACAATGCTATGGGTTTGGGGTGGGGTGGGGTACGTGCTTTCAAGGAACTTTGTCTCTCTTCTAAAGACTGAACAATTTTTTCTCAGCAGGAACTGAGAACTAAGATATTATACAAACTGTTCATCAGGAAGGTACATGTCAAAATAATTAATTTGTAGTTCATTTGATTGCTCAGTGGGACAGTTGTATTTGTTCTATTGGAAATATAGGAGAAATTCAAGTATAGTATCTCAGGTAGTGCAAAAAGAAAAAGAAAAATGTAAAAGAAAAAATGAGGACGTTTTAGTCATTCCAGAGCTTGTAGTTCTTGCATTAATTATGTCATCTTTCAAAATCTCCCCATACTAGCAGTTTTTAAGTAAAATCAGAAATGGAAGCCTCAGTTCTGTTTTCTGGAAGAGAGAGAGAGGGGTGGGGGGGAAATTACCAACTTCAGTGCAAGCCCATGAGCTTCTCTCTATTGAAAAAAACAGGAATATTTTTTTTCCAGTGAGGTTATTCCTGGAAATTCATGCACAAGTGCAGCCTTAACTCCCCTTTTATTTGTAAATAACAGAGCTAGACATTTGGTAGTATTCCTACTTTAAAAAAAATGTATGCACAGAACTAATAAAGTTAAATACTATATGTAATGTTCAATATATCCATTTGAATCCTAAAACAATAGGTTTCTTTGCAATACAATTTCTATTGCTGAAGCCCCTAATATTTAACAGAGTTCTTGAGTTCAAGTTTATCCTTTCTTCTATACCTATGTTGATTTGGGAAGCTTCTATTACTATTTTTAATAGTATAAATATATGAATGGGGGGAAAAGATACGACGTTAAAAAGGTGAGTTTGGTCTTTTAAATTCCCAATCAACCTGACAAGTGCTCCTCTCTGAATATCATATAATTGTAGCTTTTGCTTTGCCTCAACCACTAGATAAGTTTGATAGCCACAAACAAAGAAACTACATTCAGGTTAATATACTCTGAACTCAGCCAATATGTCTGAATTTTTCCCTCCCCCCAATGGACTAATGGATGCTGGATAATTCTGTATTGTGTAGAATACCCTGGGATGTGTCTTCTTTGATTATCATATAATTTCAAATATGTATCGGTAAGAAACCCCTTTTTCTTCATACAGTAAAACGAGATCTCTGCGCCCTTGTGAAAAATCCTTGGGCACTGATATTGATTATAATCTGCCAGAGCCAAAAACAGAAAAGAGGTCAGCACCCAGAGGTCTGATAGGGATTTGTTATTTTCCACTTCTAAGTAAGTGATTCCCTGTAACACATCACAAAAATCCTTTTGATGCTTCGCTCCTATTTCAGACACCCTTTTACACTACTACTGAAGTGCCTGGATGGGCATAAAAGATAGTAAGATGAACAGCGAAGAAGAATTCAGAAAGAAAAAAAAGCACATTGCTCCATTGCTCAATATCTAGCCTACAAAACGTGCACAGTTCAGCTAAAGTTGTGTATCAGGTTTGGCAAGTGAGGCCAAATCATGCAGCTCTTGCCCTACTTACATTGGAAACCCTCTGCAAACCTCATGCTATTCTGAAAAGAAAAGCTATTATTTCCTTTTAACATTCAGGAAAAAAAATCAGTATTTTTGCCAGTTGTACCAGAGCTTTTTAACTGCTAAAGTCACCAGCACCCCCGTCCTGACCCTGTGCCCTCACAAGCAACTGTGATTATCCTTTCTATCCGGGGGCACCCCACAGAGGGCATTGAAAAAGTCAAGATGTGGGTTCAACCACGCAGCTGAAATCCTGCCCTTTTAAACATGCACACACAAAAAAGGACAGGGCTTTGATTCTGAAATTGCATCCACCATCTTGACTTTTTTTTATACAACCCTGGCCAATGCTCCTGTCCCTAACCTGGGATTTATGGAGAGAATACCCTTGAGGATTGTCCTCACTGATTTATCTGGCATAACATTGCTGAAGGGAACCAAAAGCAAAAGAAAAAATTGGAGAAAACAGACTGCTGTGTTAAGAATCAGTTCAAACTTTTACCGAATGATGTTGTTGGAGGATCTATATGCAGCTTTCCTCCAGGAGCTCAAGGCATACCCAGCAATCTTTTCCTCTAGTCTAGCCCTGTGAGGTAGGTTTAACTGAAAGACCAGGCTAGACTGGCCCATAGTTACCCTGTTAACCTTTGTCATTGAGGATGGAGTAGAAATTATGTCAGATCAATCCTAATCTAACACTTCAGCTATACACAATGCTTCCCCTTACAGGTGTTCATGAAAATGTATGTCAATATAGCCTATAAATCTGCAGACAGCTTAGATCTATAGGACATAATAGAATAACTCTCGCTATTATAGGTGTGTTTAGGTTATTTATATTTTACTTACAATTTTGGTAATCTGCCCCATGCTCTGGATGTGTCCAATAAAGCACACGCATAAAAAAAACCCATATAATGAAACTCAAAGATTTTAAAACTTTTCACTAGGATTAAAAGCACAATGGAATAAAGTTGTTTTAACTGTTTTGCAAAATGCCAAGAGGGAAGGTGCTACACGAACCTCGAGGGGAAGTGAGTTCCAAAGCACGGGGGTTACTATGAGAAAGGCTGGCCATACTCCATGTACTTCTTGCAGAGGGGAATTCAGCAGGGCCTCCAGATGTTTGTACTAGATAGGTAGATTCACTTAGCAAGGTGGTGCCCGATATAGCCCATGTATCCCAGTGCAGCTTTTTTCTGATTGACTGCCAGAGGTTTTTAAAGGTTTGTGAAAACGTATTTCCCCCAGTCTTCGACACCAGAGCTTTTGTATATAAAACAGGCTTATCACTGAGATAGTCTTTCTTGTTTTCATTCCCAAGACTCAGGGTAAGAACTAGGTTGTTCTTAAAGGTTCAAACATAAATTTATATATAACTGCAGATACATAAATCTTACCTTCTTCTTCTCTGAAGATATATATGCACCAGCCACTGGGTAACAAAGGGCCATAAAATAGCAAAGGCTAAAGTACCAGGAGAAATCTCAAAGGGCCACCATGATGGTTTCTAAATGGCATACAAAATTCAGGATCACCAATAAATATTAAAACAGCATCTGTTATAAAAATTCCAACATTAATATTAAAATATCAATGGTAAAACCACCCATAACAACTCCAAAACCATAAGTAAGGTGCCTATCAAGTATTTAAAAACACCTCCATCAAGATGACTATCAACCCCCAAGATCTTTTGAAACAATTCTGTCTGTAGTCTACAAAATGTTATAAATTCTTGTGATGGAAAAAAAAGAACATTAAGGATTACTGTATAAGTTTGCAACCATACATGGTTCACATGTTATCATAGGCTACGCTATCTAACACTGTGTTCCTATTGACTTCACTGTTGTTTTTATTTATTTATTAAATTTGTATGCTGCCCATCTCCCCCAGTGGGTGACTCTGGGCGGCTCAATTCCACTCAATCAATTTTGCAGAGATTTCTTAATATTATATCTACACAGTAAAATTACACTTAAGCTAATATAGAATAGGACTATTGAAATTGTCTTGCAATTGGAATATCTTCTCTGTAGGTACGTGAACATTCAGAAATATTTAAAGATTCAAATCTTGTGCAGAGTTACTTGTCAGTAGCTGCCAATGAAGCAACACAAATTTGCTTCTTAACATGCACAAGAAAACTCTACATGGTGTTTTTGTTCCATTTATTTTTGCTGGCCATTTTGATCAGAACACCTGCATGGAATTTCCATAATTAGGTGAAAGTAAACACATTGATCTTGGCAGGAAAATATAGTTAAAGCGGCATTTAAAATGTTTTCTAGAATAGTTTCTTAGATATTGTGATGCAAAAAGCCCCCCTTCTATTCTAACCTCTACAGTCTAAGAAAATCACAATAAAGACCTAAGCTGCTTTATTTGTACATTAAGAATAAAAACCTACCTTAACAGGTAAGTCAGGCTGATTATCTGAATGTAGGGTTGCCTACAAATACAAACCAAATTGAACAAAGTAATAAAAAACATGTTTCAAATTAATATATTATATTACAGTATAGTTTTGGGGATCTGTTCACATGTATCTGCTGCTCACATTTATTAAAAAATATGGCATATAAGAATTTAGTTCAAGCAATAGATCTTTTGCCTCCTTACATGCCCTTCACTGTCCTCTCTTTGTCCCTACTACATCCCAGAAATGTTCTTCCATCTTTCCCTTTCTAATTGGTCTGGACCTTCCAGATACTTTTGTAACTAAATAAACTCTAGGAAAATTAAAATTATTCACTTTGATTTAGTAGTTTAGATACTGTAGTCCATAGTGGAATTAGAATAGTAAAGCTCACCCTGTCTTTCAAAAATGTGTTCTGTCTCTCTATTTTTCTTTTGCTGGAGTGTGTGGATATAGGTAGGGTGTGGAGTTCTTCAAAGGCAGAGATTTTCCCCACTAAGTAGTCCAGCTAATAAAGCTTCTAAGAGTTTAATAAAGATTAACTTCCTAGGATACTAATCCAGGTAAGTTCACCTGTGAAGTTGTGAGTGTCTCAAGTGCATGTAATCTCTGAAGAATGTTCTGCATATCTTCTTGCAATCGTATGAGTACGACTGCAATTTGTTCATTGAGAGAGCTCCGTGGTCCTCTGTCTGAACCCCATCGTTCTCCATCTCCTCCACTGCCCATCTGTCCACCTTGGGCACCATCTCCTAAAGGATACATCCTATGTCCTAAATTAAAGGAAAAATGCTTTTAGAAGGAAGGTAAATGAATTAGGGCTACGTATATTTTGAAAAAGATTTCGAGGTGCTTGGACCTTGTACAAGGACAAACTCCTTTCTGCTTTTCATAACGTAGCCTAACTTTTTCCAAGCTTTTGGGAGAACGTGAAAAAAGATGCCACTGCTTTAAAAGAGTTCTTAAAGCAGTACCATTTTTTTTTTCAGACTTACTTGTGCAGAAGCCTAGTAAAGATTGGGCTGCTTTAATAAATAACAGAGAATTCCAAAGCTCTATTTCTGAATCATTTCAATAGTGTGCATGGCCCTAATATGTATTATATATAAATATATCAGCCATGCACTGAGACCACAAAACCATTATTATAAGGCATGTAAAAATAACATTAAATATGCCTCATTATGCAAGAGTTCTAACAAAATAGGTATTCCGATAATACCTCTTCCCCTTCGAATTCCATAGAAGTCAACCTTTTCACCACTTTTCTTCTCTTTTTGAGGGCCTCCATCATTTGCCTTGCCATCTTCACCGCCGCACTTGACTTCACCCTTTCCTTCAGTTGCAGCTTCCTTTATACCTTCCGCTTTGTGGTTTCCAAGTTCAAGAAAACCAGAAGTTTCTAAGAGATTATTATGATCTACTTCTGAGAAAACAAATGGAAGTCTGGAAAATTCTTTGGTTGGTGAACTGATTTCCAGGATCTGTAAGTTAACAAAAGCAAAAGGCAGTATTCCCTTACTACAGAGTTCACAAAGAGCCTTGGTATAGTCTACACAATTATATCTAGCTGATGCTGCCTATAGAATTGGCAGGAAGAAAATTACATTTAAAAAAGGCTCCCTAAACAACTGTACTAGTAGTACAATAAGAGTTTCTGCTCTTGACAAATTAAATAGAACGTTGCCAAAGGGGGAGTAGTAGGAACAGAGAAACAAACCTTACAGTGTGAATAGCAGGTTCTTTTTCTAGGAAGCATGTGGGCTGAACAATGCAGATTGAAACAAGATAGAGTGCTATATAATTTACAGAAACACTAAGGACTGGACTAAAGGCATAGAAGATATGAATTAGAAGGGACCTTATTGGTTTCTTTAGTCCAACTTCTTATTTTGCACAAAAACTTATTAAATCACCCATGACAGACGGCCAAACATCTCCCATTTGAAAATCTCCAGCAAGGAGGAGTCCATTCCTGCTTTAGACAGACTGTTCTACTGTCTGATAGGACTGTGAACCACTCTGGCTTTGATTCTAAAACAGAGCTTTGCAATGCAGGTAAGAACATAAGCAGAGACCATCATGCTGTTACATCATGCTGCTTGCTGATGTTCAACTGGTGATCCACTAGTACTCCTAGATCCTTTTCACGCATGCTTTCCTGCCAAGTCATTTCTCCAAATATAGGACCTTACATAGCTGAACATCATCCTGCTGGATTTGGCCCAAAGCCTGTGGTATTACTTCCAAGACCTGTATCCAGTGCAAATGCTTTCCTTTGTTCGGAACAGATATCTGGAAAAATGGCACCCACATAAAGCCATGGTTGAGGCTTCCTTAATGGGAATGAGAGAAAGACTTTATGGACTGTTTCTATACTCTGTGGTACTGTTTGCTCTCGTACTTCCCCTACAGCTTCCCTTCTCATGGTGTTTCTCTATACAGCAGAAAGGTTTCCTGTCTGATTTTTCTCTTTTTGAATCAATAAGATTGCATCCATTCCGTTTTTATTACGTTTTCAAAAGTGTAATTACAGTTTATGCTTGTTTTATTCTTTTTCCCAGTCCTGATTGCATGGGATAGAGACATGGTTTATATGTCGATTATATGTAAATTCAAAAGTATCTTCATGAGATAGTGAACCCAGAAAAATGAGCCACTAAGGCAGTGTTGTCCAAACTTGGCCACTTTAAGATGAGTGGACTTCAGCTCCCAGAATTCCCCAGCCAGCCATGCTGGCTGGGGAATTTTGGGAGTTGAAGTCCACTCATCTTAAAGTGGCCAAGTTTGGACAACACTGTACTAAGGAAAGCACTGATACTAAAGCTAGTACCCAATATTATTTGTATTGGGTATTATTGGGTCAATCGTTTGCCACCTTATGGTCACATGAGGCATGATGTTCTATGTCCTTTGCATTTGATTAGGCATGCTTTTAAAATATAAATAGCAGCCACTGAAGGATTTCATGCCAGAGCCAAAGGAACAATTCCAAATGGATAATTATTGGCCAGAATGCAGGAAAAAAGATCTTTCTCTCTCGTTATGAGATCACCCTAATTACCAGCCTCCCCCATACTCTCTGCATTTAATTAAATGCAAGTTAAATGCAAAGATGCATAAGTGTAAACGATTACTTTTTTTAAACAAACATTAAGTTTCAGGAAGATGCAAAAGCTATTCAAGCTCTTGGGAGAGATTTGCTGTAGCTTATTAGAAATTGGAATTTTAAAGAGCTATAATCAAGCCATAATAGAAACTGATTCTGAACTGAATTCTTTCAGCAGGTGTGCAGGATAAGATGGTTTCTATTCAAGAAACTACAGTCTTAAAACCACTTTAGTATCTTTGCAGATTCTGATTATTATATACAGATTTATTGCATTACAATATAAAAGTTTGCAAACTCTACCTCTTCTTGTCCAAATTGCTCCATTGAATCACAGTATATTTCACTATCTGAATCACTTGTCAAGAGTTGTATTCCAGAGACTTCAGTAGCGTCTTCATTTAGACCTGTGCATACATGACCAAGCACTTAGCAAGACTAAAGTAGTGACTTAGTACTTAAGTATCAAAATTATCTAACTGAATATACAGTACTGAGAATTACATTTTTAACTTAGCAATTTTTAAAAGCTTATTTTAATGGTTTGCTGAAGAGCAGCTAGAGTGAATCTTTGTTTGCACTGACAGTTTACAATAAAACAATACTGTTTATCTACCTAGCTATCTATCTGTGGTAAACTTAATCCATATAACTTAGAACAAAAATAAAATGCACATAAGTACATTAAAAATCACAGTATTTAATGCAAAATCATAGCTAGAAGAGTTAATATCCCAAAGATTTTTCACTGTCCACATGAGGGGAAAAAAAATCACGTTTTTAATGCCCAGTTCCTAATCATGTTGGCCCAACCTATTTCTTTGTACATGCAGGGCCTATGCATATTTACATTTCTGTATTTTCTAAATTCATAAATGAGATATGCTTGGTCGATCTTAGCCAATGGCAGCAACTGACCAATCTGGTCTAGGTGTGTAAGCAGGATTAGGTTGGTTAATACTTGGATGGGAGGGAATCCCAGGGCTATATGTTAGACTGAGAAGTTGAACATCATGGAAAAGACTTTATTCCAGAGCCAAGAAAAATCTATATTGTGTCCATGCAATCGCAAAAGGACCACACTCAATTCAAGGGCATCTATATCATTATCCTATCTGAAACCATGCTCCCAATTTCATATTCTACAGATATAAATTGGCATAATTTAGATTCATTTTACCCTCTAAACCACATACATAACATTCTATATATAGATGCCAGCCCTTATACATTCCTTTCTTCCATAAGCGTTGAGAGGGCAAAGAATTAAGTGCCACCTGGAGCACTGCTAGGAATAAAAGAGGGGTTTACAGTATTTCCCCAACCCAGGGGTGCATATAACATCTATAAATAAGTATGTTTGCAGAAAACAGTATTCACCAGCTTAAACAAAAGGCTGGCCATCTTTTGGATGCTAAAGGGCTCCATTATTTAAGGGGACAGAAGATCTGTAATAAGCAGGGAGTGTAAATCTTCTCACTCAAGCAGGAAAAGAAATGATCAGAAGGTAGGACAATCTGATAGCAGCCAAAGGAAATGGGCGTTGACAGATACCATGACAGACTATGCAGAAGATTATTTAAATTAATTCTTTATTTAAAATGGGCACCAACCCAGTATTTGCTCTCCTACGTGCATCCGTGCTTGACAAGCCAGCCAAATAGGACCAACAGCAAAATGTTTTACTAAAAAAATCAGTCATACTGGCAAACATGAAGGTGAATTTGGACAACAAAAGCACAAGAAGACCGTACCTTGATGAGAAGAATCCGAGTTAGATATGACTGGTAACTCAAGGGACTTGTCTCTTGCCTTTATTTCTTCATCCACATTGATGCCATTCAGAGCAGATTTAGTCTGTGTGCCATTGCTTGCGTCAACATTAGAAACATCATTACAACAGCCATTAATAACAATGCTGTCTAAATCCTTATCAGGAGATGAATTTTGTTTCACATCTTCAGCTTCTGAAACCCCTAAGTAGGCAAATTTTCAAACAGAACCTCATTATAAAATACTCTAGTTTTTACAAATGTGTTTTCTATTGTTCACTATTACAATTGTACAAATAGGTTAATCTGTACCTATTTATGAACTAAATATTTCACAGATTAATCAAACTGATCATTGGAAATAAAAGTACTTAAAAAACTAAACTTGTTTTTTTAAAAAAGATCAGCCTGCCATCTATTTATGTATTTGTTCGTTAGATATATATCCCACTGATTTTTTCAGAAGCTCAAGGCAACATACTTAGTAGCGCTTCCCATTTCTCCCACAACAACCCTAAAGGTTGGGTTAAGTGAAAATGAGAATTACCCAGTTGGCCCTGAACTTCCATGGCTGAGGAGGGACTTGAATCTGATCTCCCCAATACCTCAACTGCTAAATCAAACTTGCTGTCTATACATTTTCATTGTGTATACGAAAACTGGAATTTTAATTACCATGAGAAAAAAAAAGTGGTTACAGTACAGTACATACTTATCTGGGAGTAAAGTCTACGTAACTCAATGCAACTTAATTCCAAGTACCCAAGTATAGGATTACAGGCTTTACTTACAAGCATTAAAAGATTTCTCCATTTTATTGGTACGTTTCCTTCATTTTAAAAAGAAGTCTGAATGATTTGATATTCAAGCTGCATAGCCCAACTCTATAACTGCTTACTTGAAAAGCAGCTTTGCTGTATGCAATGAGATTAACTCATAAATAAGTGGCACAGAGTAGCATTCTGAATTCTTTAATTCTTTACTTAAAACATTCGGGGAAATATGTTTTTAAATGCTATATATCCAATTAGATAACCTACATTACACCATTACCTCTAACCATTTCTAAATGGCTGTTTCCACTAAAAATACACAAAAAGTGACTTTTCATACAATTAACATTTACTGCAGGTTCCACTATGACTGCAGCCTGATAAAATAAAAGCCAAATAAGTATCTTTAAATTTTGTTTAGAATATGCTCCAATGTAGAGCTTATTTCTACCAAGATCCATGACAGTTTATGACATTTACACTATAATACTGTACACATACTTTTCCTGTCCTGGTCATTAGCCCTAGTGGCTAGAATTCTAGAGTAGGGAGATAATCTTGAAGAATGAAGGCAAGAGCAGTTATGTAAATACCAGCTTTGTCTTCATTGTTGTTAGGAGAACACAATTGTTTCCCAACATGGTTTGCAGTAGCTTTATCAAGAACAAAAGCTGCCAAGCTACCTGTGAAAAGGTATATACCACTCAGAAACAAATATCTACCTTTATCAATCTGTGGGACGTCTGTTATCTCTTCCTGATGTGGTTCTTCCTCTGATTCTGCTCCACTGTCATTGTTTTCTGATTTTCCATTCACAGCGGGCACAGAAGTTACAGCATTGCAAGGATCTAATGGGAGAAATTGTATTTACCATAGAAATTTAGGTTGTATAATAATTACTTAAGTACCTAATATTCATTTGGAATAATTCAAGCCACTCTTCCTTCATCTTCAAGTCTACATTCTGGGGCTCAGAACATCTGTAAGAGAACATGTTCCTGACTTAAAACTTAACAAAGATACTTTGGGAGAGGGGAGCTATTGGGTTTGTCACTACTGCTTTCCTAACAGAGTCCAAAGTGAAAATTACTGTTAAATTCTTAGTACACAACTGTATAGCAATTCTGTCCAGATACCATACTTTTCCATGATTTAGAATAGAAGCAGCCAGCCCTCATTTTGGTGATTGAGAGCTGAACTTCATTTGTTTTAAAATGTTTTTAGACTTTGTGGAATGTAGGGAGCTTGGCACAGATGTCATTGGAGAAAGGAGGACTGAACTGTTTGGTCTTGTCATTTTTGTGAAGGTTAACACCTAAATTAACATCAAATAACTGTGCTATGCCTAGCAGAATCTTAATTTACCCATTTTTATTCTTATTTTGTTGAAAACGTGCTGCAAAAAGTAATTTCTTTGCCCCCCCCCCCCAATTTTAGTAACATAATCTTGAGAGGTTTCACGGATTGCATGAATGATGCACCTCTGGCTTAAAAGCTATGAACGGCCACGCCTGGCTTAGAATGTTCCTGCTGCCAATTACAGCTTTCATGTGAAAAGGCACATTTCCAAATAAAACAAATACTCAGTTCTTTAAACAAAATGAAGGTTAAATTTCATTTTGTACACCAATTACATTTATTCTGCATGAGCAACACAAGATGTTCTGCTAGTGTCTGCAAATACAGGAACACAACAATACCTGTCAATATTAAAACAAACTTTTTAAACTTTTAAGCATTTAGTTTGCTGATAACTATCATTTATTTTAAAACCAGCAGACAATTCCGTAAATAAGCTGCCTTCTAACATTTTAGTTTTACACAAATATTAATATATATAACCTGAGGGGGGGAAAAAGGAAATAGAAAGGCTATTAAGCCTTGTCACTTTTTCAATTCAAATCTCTGGAATGATTACCTTAGACTATATGGGCGCAATCCATCATATATACTTCTCTCTCTCTTCCATTTATTACAACACAATAGGATGTGTTTCTATTACTGATTTTAGTAAAATTTGTGCAGGACAGTTATATAAGCCACAGTGAAGTTAACAAAGTGACAGATTTTCGACTTTGCAGCATAACTTGAACATCTGCTATGCGTGTGTAAGTTACATGTTGGATCTTGTTAAACATGCTTTGTCATCTTTTTTTTAATCAGAACCACAAAGAACTTCAGGATAATTAAGGGGTGGATTAGCTGATTTTTCATGCCTTAAATATGGGAGAGAAAATTGTTATATTGCCTTGGGCTCCTAGAGGAAGGGTGAAATGTGATTGTATCAATCAATGTCATGCCTTCCCAAATACATTAGCAACTCTGAATATGTTTACAGCTATATCTGTGGGAATCACCCTTGATGTAATGGGCAACAAATGCTCAGTTTTTTTCCTTAGTGTCTTCTCTGATGAAATGATTAGCACATTTACATTTCACATTTCTTCTCCTTGTCCAATGTGATAAAAAGAGGGAGAGGAAATGGATTACATTCTCACAAGTAGATGCTGAAAGGCTGCCATTCCGTATAACTGTGGAAAAACTAATTTAATTTGAGGCAAAATCAGAGCATGTAATGTATATAACTCCAACAGACAATAATATACATGTAGTTGATAAATATAATTGTTCCACCTGCCCCCATCCTTTCCTTAAGCTGTCATTGTCCATTCTGCAAACTCCTGATGATCAATCTCGGGTGGTCCATAAAGCACGAGAAGGGGGGAGGGGGAGCTTAATCTAGGCTTAGCACTAAACTATGATTACTGAAAAATGCACATGCGTGGGAATCATCATTTACTGACCTTTCTCCCAATTAGTGCCATTGCCACAGCAAAGTCAAGATTTTATTTGTACAGTTTTCTAAAGCAGTAACAATATTTCAGCAGAACCAGGGACTCTTGTGGCAAAAAAAATAATAATAATAATAATCACAGCATAAATGTGTATTTCTGAATTAAAGTTCACTTCATCAGAAGCTGTAGAGTTCTCGTCCATGAGAATGTATACCACACTAAAACTGATACGATTAAAGCTTATGTTATAATAAGCGTTATAATAAAGTAAGCCTTTCTAAGATGCCCTAAGACTTTTCATTATATTTGTAACAATGTTATTTGTTCTCAAGCAAGGAAGCGTATATCCAAATCATGGCTTACTTTCTCCATGTTGGAAAATCTAGTTATCTCTGTGAAAATTTTGTTCCTGCTGAATATAGCCGAGGAACTAGATAGACACCCTCCTATGGAGTCATAAGAGGATTTAGAACAGACCAAATGCACAACAGCATTATCTGAGATTCACGTTTTTCCAAAATATTCTATTAACATTCAGTAGCAAGCGCTAAATTTCATACCAGACATTCATATACAACATTTGATATATAGCAAGGTATTTTTTGTTTGATAGGCAGAAAAATAGCAGTTAACAGTTTAGATATTTTTTTCAAGAAGCTAAGCAAGCCTACTTATTTTAAACAACAGATTCTTGATGTATATACTGATTTTTACAGGTAATAATCAAGCTCCAAAATGCTACTTTGGCTAATGCAGCTTTCTTAAAAAAAATTTTATTGAACAGCTGGTTTGCAGATGTTTTGCTCAGCTGCTCAGCATAGTTTGGCAGAGCAAAAGAAAGAAATGCTATTAGAAGTAAACAAGACCAAAGTCCCTCCGACTTCACCACATTAGCATTATATTGTAGTTGAATTATATTGTGGTTGAATTGCACTGATATGTAATTTAATTCATTTGTCAGAAGACGTCATAAGCATCTGTAAGACTTACAAAAATTCACTATTTAGTCAACATTTCAACTAGGTGATAGAACACGAATGTTCTCCTTCTCCACCAGTGCCACAAAAGTCTGGCATTGAGCACCACACAGCCGAGGTCCAGATGAATTATCCTTATTTTCAGTGTCTTCACTGCTGTTAAAATTGGCTACGCTGAAAGCTCCCCTTATTTTAAAGGTGTTTTGAAAAGCCCTGCTCCATTTTGGAATACAGTTTGTTATGAAACTATATCGTTTCCCTTCTCCAGAAAGAGGCTACGTTTCCCTGATGCAAATCTTGAACCAGAAGATATTTCCCTTTAAAAAGGCATCACGCAAACATTTGCCCAACCTCTTCTGCGGGTCTTAGTAAATGCATATGGTGGCCCATGAACTTCTAAGCTGTGTCCAGACCTGGCATCTTACGCTGGATGTGGAAATTACACTCTCCTTTTCAGTCTAGTGTTTTTATGTGCCTGAAAATAATATTTTGGTCAGGTACTGAGAGGTTGGGTTCAGGTACCTGCTCCTTTGCTTTCAAGAGGGATGGCTACAACCCTCACCTTCATCAAAAACTTTTGCAGGACTATCTATACAAAGCAGTAATTCCTTAAACTCTTCTCATCCCATTTACAAATGTCTCCTCTTTCAAGAGGTTAATTAAGACTTCTAATTGTGCATGTTTTATGCTTCTGCTCTATATAAACATTTTGAAATAATTAGTTTTTAGCTAAGAATCTTTTAAAACAACAACAACATGGCAACTCACCTCACAGGGTTTTGTTGTGGGGAAAATAGGAAGAGGAAAGAGTATTAGGTATGTTCACTGCCTTGAGTTATTTATAAAAATAATAAAGGCGGGATAAAAAAAATCTAAAAGAAAATTAACTTTAGATGTTCTGCTGACAGTAAGAATTAAGAACCCTCTGAATTTTGACACACTTTCCCATTCTGCCTCCTTTAACTAAGCAGCAGCTTTCACTGAGGGTGGACGATTTTCCTACATCTCAAGAGCCTATTAGCCCAATCTAATCTAGTTAGACATCTTCCCTGCAGTGAACATTAATGAGGTAATGCATATAAATGCAACGCTATCATCAGAAAAAATTTCCCTTTCTTTAATTCCAGAGGGATTGGCCTCTGATTTGAAACAACTAGCAGAATTTCAGGAAATACATTTTAGCGGGAAAATATAAGCAAGCAAGGGTTCAGCATCCTCATCCTGTGCCCATTTTGCTCATTAAATCAGACCCACCCTTCAAAACATGAATTGGACAGGCCCATATTTAAGAAAGGCATTGCTACCACTATTGTTTCTAAGTAGCCCCTTTAGAAAGGCCAACTACAGTAAAGCTAGATCTTTACTTAGTAACAACGACCCTCAAGTAATTAAAATCTCCTGTACTTTTCTGAATGGGCAGTATACCTCATATTGTTTCTAGTTCTGCCTTTCTTTTCATCCACTCTAATCTATTCATGTTGTCTAAAAGAAGTGGTGAGATTATAGGAATCAAATGGGACATGTCTACATAAAGCTGCAGATAAGTTAAAATTCAGGTTCCAGAAGCTGTGTGTCATAATAGGATGCTACTGTTCATGGAATGCCCCCCAAACAGAATTCTTCACCAAAAACTCCTTTAAATTCAAACTGGATACTGAATGTCGTCGTGCCCTTGTTCTAACAGTGATGACTCAGTTTTATCTACTATGTTCTTTCATACGGTATTTGCCCTGGACATCACTGCAAACTACCAACATGTGTTTTGGAAGCAAGTCACGTTTTTGGCCATGACTTTTTCGTGCCCAAGTCACTAAAATATAGATAAATCAAGTTAAATATTTATATGCATAGTTATTTCTTCAGATAATGTAACTGCTTCAGTAGTAATGTTTACCTACCATGTAGCAAATTAGGAAAGAATACTTTAATCAAAGGCCTGAATTTGCAGATTTCATTTTGTACCTCTTTAACTATGCACTATGAAACATGCATTGTGATAATATTTATACTTATGATACATTATACATGTTATACTTATGATGCATATTCTTTGAAATGTAGCTAACTTCTCTTCCACATTTTCCCCATTGTACTGCTTGGAAGAATAGCCATCATGCATTGCAGAGCAGAGCGAAATCACTTTCCTAAATTCCGCCACAGATGAAAACCCACAGCCCTCTACAAGGGAGAGGAGAGGGGGTAAAACTCACAACCTGAACATAAAAAGTGGCTGCGTTCACACAACTTAACCAGATCAATTAAAAACCTAATTGTTTGGCTACGTTTTAACCATCTGTTGTTTTCTGTGCTCTAATGAGTTGCGCAAATCCAGCTTGTTTGGTTGGTTTGTGATCCAACATCTTCTGCAAACCCAGATAATGGAATATTTAGCTAAGCTAAATATGTAAAACCCCACTCACCTGAGGCAGGGGAGAATTTCCTTGCACGATACCAAGATTGCTGTTATGCTCTTTGTCACTGCATGCAGAATGTAACTAGTGATTAATAATAAATCTGGATCTCACTATATTTCAGTTCATATTAAGTGCCTTTTCAAATATTACATTTTCTTGAAGAAAAAAAGGGTTATTTAGGGTAATGGGTGCGTACCTGTTTAGACATTCTGAAAAAAAGAACTAGCTGAGGCAAGCCAGACCTACAGCACATTTCCATGGAAGTTATGTCAGGATAATGGAAACAAATGCATTTTCACAGGAGTGCTGTATTACCAGTCTTATTTTTCTGATATTTATAATCCTAGAGCTGCAGAAATCCAGGCAACCACTAGATGGAAGATCAGTAAAAGTCTAACTTTTTGCTGCCGTTTAGGAGGATTCCAGAATTTCGCAATCCAGTACAATGGAATTTATTCTGAAACAAATACAGGTAGTCCTTGGTTAACAACAGCCATTGGGACCAGAATTTCCATCACTAAGCAATGCAGTCGTAAAGCGCAATGTCACATTACTGCGCCACTTAGCGATGGAAATTCCAACACTTCCAGTTGCTGTCATTAAGCAAATCACTGTGGGTTGTTAAGCAAGGACATCACATGGTCACCATTTGACTTTGCTTGTAGGAAGCTGGCAAAAAAGGTCACAAATGGTGATCATGTGAACGCTGCAATGGCCAGAACTTTGAGGACTGGTCATAAGTATCACTCATTCAACACCATTGAGAGTTCAAAAAGTCGCTGAATGAGTGGTCACTAAGCGAGGGCCACTTACCACAAAAAGCTTTAACTTTCTTTTAAATTACTGGTAGTGCAAGCCAGACAAACAGCATTAAAATGTAATGTAATGTAAAATAATGTAATTTACAACTGATAAGATATTAGATAAGGTAGCTGTTATGTATTCCCACCTGCGATTAGGTCAGATCCTCTATTTCTTTTATCCTCTACAATTTCGTAAAATGGGCCTAAAACATGTAGCAGTTCCTCAACCTTGTCTGTCATTGGCATCGTTTCAAGAATCTGGAGAAACACAAAACATGTATGAACCGCATACCTTTCAGCGGTAAGTTTGACAATCACTGTAATGCTTTGCTATGAACCAGCCCCACAAGAATAATCCTACAGTCTATATAGGTTTAATTGCAACCTCAGACAAATTTGGATTGTAGCCAACAGTTATCAAAACTAAAGTAGCAAATCATACAGAATTTGCATTAACCAATTCTATCTATTATTTACTTTTAGAAAATATTCCCAATACTTCTAACATGTAAGCATATTTTTCTTGTTAATTTCATGCCTAAAAGAGATACAGTAGTGTTTTAATTACAGCAAAACCTCAATTTATTGGAACTCAATGTCATGGTCTTTGCATGCAATAGATTTCACTGTAGTTTATATCATTTATGTAAGGAGATCATTATACAAATCACACAGATTACACCAATTGTGTCACTTCAGATTATTTGTGTAATGATATCCTTACGCCAATGATGAAAAATAACATGGTAACGCACTCTCAGATTTACCAGACATTCATGAATAATAGACATCTCAGGCTTCACCCCTAGCAGGACAAACTATTTAGGGAAGCTCACAAGAAACCAAAAAAAATAAATAAATCAGATAAATAATATTTATTGAACAAAATTAGAAGCCACAACCAAAGAATGTCAGCAATTGCTGTATTTCAAGAATAATCCATATGTAGAGAAATAGCTTGACTATCTTTCTCCTTCCTGTTTTACACAATGGTCTACTTGGCCTCCTCTTTTAAGCAGGATAATTTCCCATCAATCTTTTGTTTTGCAACCATCAGATTTAAAATCTCTTTCACTTCTCATGACTTCTTCCACCCAGTTAGTCTGTTAAAACAAGGTTTCACTATATGCCTCTATAACACAGAGCCTACTTACTTCAAAGACACTTATTGATCATCAATACAGAGATACCATAAATGTCAATACACATGCCATAGCAAAAACACACAAAACTTGCCTTTTATTTGTATTCTTATGGGGGGGGGATTGTTTTGAAGATGGTGCTAGATGATATATCAAGATTCGTTAATTCACTAACAGTTGTTTACAACTCCCGTACAAACCTGACTAAATTACTCAGAATTACATTCAGAATTACATAACAGTTTGTCATTCCAGGTTTTCTGCATACACTTGCCCTTCTGTTGTTGGGCAACCTTTAGAAACAAAACAGGTTTAGCTAGAAAATTATTAAGGATTTATAAACTAAACTTCTATTCACATGAATTCACACACCCTTTCAATATATTAATATCCACTGAGAAGGTATATATTTAGAATTTAGTGATACTTAAGGCTCACACTGTTGGAATTGGCTGGTGGGATGATTGATACTACTCCCCTCATTATCTTGAATTACATATAGTCTGTTTATATAGAATTGCTATTAGTTAATTTTAATACGGATATTTATA